CAAAGATTTAAAAGCTAGTGCAGTATTTGTTTTGCATTTTTGCTGGTAATATTTATAATATAACTATGGCAATCACTTATTTCCAAAGTTAACACTTATTCGATTAAAATAATTAGTTGTCAACAATGTTTTTTGTGGACTGTTGTCAAAAATAATATAACAGTTAAAGATTAAAATAATATAAATGTATAGTTAATAAATCCTCAAATTCTCTCAAGGAAAAATTATCAAGATAGGGGAAGAAAAATATGAGAACTAAAGGTTATGGGAGATTGCTTGGCTTGCACTATCAGACATCAATTTACAACAGTATAGAAACATGCCAGATACTTAGTGGGAAGAATATTGAATCAGATAGACAAACAGAAAGTCACAATAAATTACAATATCTAATAGTATACTTTAAATTACCTTCAAAATGGTGGTATCATATATCAATATTAGTATTAACGATTAATCGAAACGGTTAAAATTAACGTCACTTTGTTGTTGAAATGGAGGTAATTTGATAAATGCACAATAGAGTAAGACATGAGTATTCTGGAGGGCTAATGTATAACTTGAGACTACTCATCACATAAAAATGAAATTGTTAAGGTAGTGAAAACCATATATTGTTCCTTTGTTGTTTATATATATATATATGAACATAAATATATATATTTATTTATATACATATAATGTTCCTTTACTCAATTTCACATCATAATTATCTTTGGACATTAAATACGTCGCGTATGATATTAGCTTCCAGAGGTTGTCATGTCATGCATGTGAATTCATATTATTCACTTGGCGTTACTATTAATATGGTCCTACAAATATGCGCTCTCATATGTATGCGTCAAATTAATGCTAGTAGCCCATCATATGTGTGGACAAACATTTCGGCCGGACGAGAGTTGCTATTATTAGAAATCAGACAAAAAGTTCACTCAGAATATGAGATTAAAGTTTGGGAAGACCCTTGGATTCCTACTATACCCGCGAGACCAGCTATTCCTTTGGTACCGGCTCTACATCCAAATATGCGAGTGAGCGATTTGATTGATCAAACAACGAAGAGCTGGGATGATAGGCGTCTACACGATTATGTTGCGGAAGCGGATATACCATTTATTAAAAGTATGGCCATTAGTTCAATGCATCGAAGGGATACGTATTGCTGGAGCTATACGAGGACTGGACAGTATACAGTCAAATCTGGCTACTGGGTAGCACGAAACATTTTGTGGAAGGAAAAGGAACCTGAAGTATGTGAACCTAGCATCACAAAGCTTCAAGCACATGCTTGGAAGGTCAGAGCCCCTCAAAAGATTTGTCATCTTATGTGGCAGTTGATAACAGGACATGTAGCTGTCACGAACATCTTAAACCATAGACATATGAGATGTGATAATTACTGTCCTCGATGTGGGGAACCCGAGGAGACGATCAATCATGCAATATTTGAATGCCCACCTGCATTACAAGTTTGGGAACTATCATCTACGCCATCCAATCCCGCTCTGTTTCCAGTACAAAGCACGTATGCGAATATGGATTATCTCTTCTGGAGGAAGAATGCTATAACGGAACCAGATTTGGACAGAGATCCTTATCCTTGGCTTATCTGGTACATTTGGAAGGCTAGGAATGACAAGCTGTTCAGAGGTATTGATAGAGACCCTTTGGAGTTAGCGCGTTATGCAGAAAGTGAATGCCAGGCATGGTTCAAAGCAAATGAACAGGAAAGTCCGGTCTCCACTGGGACCGGAGGAGAAGAAGACCAGACCTTAAGTCTGTGTAATATATGCATGGTGGATGGTTCTTGGACTTCTACAAATACTTTCAGTGGTTGTGGATGGGTCCTGAATGATGATTTCGGAAACAGTAAGCTATTGGGGCTACGTAATTTTGATCGAGTGGAATCGGCGTTGCATTCAGAGTTGGAAGCACTGTGGTGGACAATGGAGAATATGCTTCAACATTCGCCATGTCAGAGCTTTGGAACTGATTGTAAGGAGATGATTGAGATGATCAGAAGTTCTCATGCATGGCCTAACTTTTCGACAGAACTTGAACAACTGGAGATGCTGAAGATCTGCTTTCCTGAATTCAAAATTTTTTATGTTCCTAGAGTCCAGAACGACGTTTCTGACTCGCTTGCTAAAACAGCTAGGTATTTTTACCGTAAGCTTGTGTTCGTTAGTTATTCTATTCCGGTCTGGATCCCCAGACCACCTCAAGTTGTTTGAGTAATAGATCAGCCGTTTGATGTCAAAAAAAAAAAATATATATATATATATGTGATCTCTTGGGTTTATACTTTATAGGTTAACAAGAAGACTAGCTAAGTAGCATGCTTTACATCAAATTATGATTCTATTTCTATTGAATTCGAGAACTCAAATATTATGGAATCAAATAATTTAATTTGTGTATATCGTAAATTATGTTTCTATTTTGGATACAGTTATTGTGCTCCATAAAATTAAGTTGTTTAAGCTGGTGACCATTCAAGTCTTGAGAAACTGATGCAGTTTACTTTCTTCTTTTATCATCCCCCTGTAAGCTTTTATGCTATGCTATAAAATTGAAATTGAGAAACTTTTATCGTCTTTTTTCCTTTGTTTCCTTCTTGTCTCTATTTGTTGTCTATTCTTCCGGTAAATTTCTTACACTATGCCAGCTTTTTTCTAATCTTCTTTATTTTTTCTTTTTACCTTATGTAACGTCTCACCAATATTATGGTAAATTTTTTGAGAACATGTAATTTCTCAGACGTCCCTAATATGTATTCATCCATACGTTGAATGATTTTGATTCAAGGTAAGAAAATAATAAAAAGGCGTTAGGTTTGATGGTCCAGAAATTGGATCACAATTTTCAAGAGGGTCAGACTCAACAGGCCTTTCGTGTTTACTCAACTTTCTTTATATACATAAGGTTTGTATATTTCTTTAATTCAAATATTTTTTTTGCAAAAAACAAATTATTCAATATGATCTTTAATTCAATATGTAAAAAAAAACAGAATAAAGTGGGAAGAATGAGGATGCTTTAGTAACTTACTAATCCATATAAGAGAACTAGGTGGCTTCCTGCACCATGTGCAGGAAGAAAAATTTTAAAAATAAATTTATATTTAAAAATAAAATTTAATTAATTTTTAAATTATTCTTTTTTACATTATTAATTTTACATTAATTATATGTAAAAATTAAGAGAAAATAAACAGTTTTATTTAAATATATTTTATTTAAATATATGACAGTTCTCTCAAATATAACTTTTTAAGGTTTTTTCACAAAAATAGATTTTAAAACTAAAATGACCAAAACATCATTTTTTATTTTGAAAATGTCAAAAAAAATTTAAAAAAAAATTGTAATCCTATCCCCAAAACCCCACTCCTCAACAAAAAGATTTACGATTAGTTAAACCAAAGGATATAAGTGTATATTTACTTATTTTTGATAAAACATTTAAGTCTATCTTGGTCATTTTTATTTTAAGGTCTATATTTGTGATTAAAACTTGTTTTTAGGTCTATCTTAAAAAAAATTTCTTAAATTTATATTTAATAATATATATGTATCTTTTATCTTTTGGTTAAATTATATTAAATCAGATTCTATACTATTTAGAGAAAATTTTGTTAGATATATAATTATCAAAATATAACACTAAATAATATTTCTAAAATTTATAGAAGTCATAAATAAAGCTAATGGTATTGGGATTAGAAAATTTTAATTTTTAAAAATACTGCATAAAAATTTTGAAAAACAAAATTTATTAATAAAAATATATATAATTAAACAAATACACTTAAAATATTTCAATATTTGTAATATTACTATATTTATATTTCTACTATTATATTATTTATTATCTTAGTGATAATTTATGAGTTCTTTTTCTTATCACTATTTTAATACAAATTTTTGTTTAATCAAACATAAAAAGTAATATAAAAATATTTTTGTTTATTTTAAATTCTATTTAAGAATATGCATGTATATATTTAAAATTATAATCTTAGATAATTTTTTATCTATTTATTTAATTAAATATATTAAATAAATTTGTAGAAAATTTTATAATTATCAAAAATTAAAATTAGACAATATTTATTACAATTTTAAATATATAATAAATTAATAATTTTAGGATTAAATTTTAATAATTTTCAAAAATGTATGCATTTTTGAAATTTTTGTAATAAAATTGTATAGTTTTAAAATATATAATTAAATGATATTTTCGAAATTTTTAATGACATAATGGTATATATTTATTTTAATGATGATTTATTAGTTATTACCATATTTTAAAAATATTTCCAAAAATATAAATCGATATTAAATGTAATATATGAGTTGTTACCATATTCTATAAAGTTTTTCAAAAATATATATATTAACATTAAATGCAATTGTCCATGTCATATTTAATCATATGTCATGTCATCAATTGTAGTAGACATGTCACCGTTTTTTTGTGAAACTGATTCTAGAGACGACATGTAGCAAAATCACTTCACAAGTAATGTATAGGGGATTTGAAATTTTTGTAATAAAATTGTATAGTTTTAAAATATATAATTAAATGATATTTTTGAAATTTTTAATGCCATATTGGTATATATTTATTTTAATGATGATTTATTAGTTATTACCATATTTTAAAAATATTTCTAAAAATATAAATCGACATTAAATGTAATATATGAGTTGTTACCATATTCTATAAAGTTTTCCA